GTGTGAATGTTTAAAGAACAAAATGTCTAGAAATGTAACATGTGTAGACATGATTTATTCCCAAACTCTGTGTCATCCCCAGTTAAAAATATTATGGTGTCTATAATGTTCTGGAGTTGCTTAAGCTTTTGTTAATGCTGTTAATAGCTAGAAAATCTCAGGCATCCTCACCAATGTTTTACCTTATATATCTCTTGTCTCAGTTGCAGAGGCCTGTAGATGAAATGGATTATTTGCATCTTTTGCATCCTGGGTTCAGGTGGGGATATTGAAAGGAAACAGCATTATTGTTATTTTATTCCTCTGGAGGGATCAGGAAAGAGGTGGTATTACTGTCTTGATCCTCCCGGATCTCTCAGTGGGTTTCAATACCATCAACCATGGACCAGTTTCAGGGATCGAGAGAGGGGAGGCACTGTTTTGGAGTGGTTTTTCTCTTTTCTCAATAGCTAGTTCCAGTCAGTGTTCGTATGGATCTAGCTTTAGCTCCTCACAACGTAGAACACCTCAAGGCTGGGGTGTCTCACTGTTCCTCTTTAAATATCTACCTGAAAACCAGCCAGAGCTGGCATGCAATTTGGAGGTCCTCCTAAATTTGTGGCTTCTGTTCAAAGAGCAGGTGGCAGTCACGTTTAGGGAGCTTTGAAGAGATACAATTGTGCGCCAATTGTACCACTCCTGGACTGTGAGGCCTTGCTCACGTTCATTCATGCTTTGGTTACTTCCTCTTGGAAATGCAGTGTGGCCTACATGGGGCTGTCCATCCTTGAAGAGCACCAGGAAATTGCAAGTGGTGCAGAATGCTGCAACTCACACAGTGCTGGGCACTTCTTGGTTTACTCATGATACACACCTGCTATGAAAGCTGCACTGGCTCCCAGTTTCTTTCTGGACACAATTTAAGGTGCTAGTTACCACCTTTATAGCCCTACCTGGCAGTAAGCCAAGTTATTTGTGGGACTGCCTCACTTGAAGGTGTTTGCTTGCTCCACTAGGCCAGGCAGTATATGCATACCCCTGAGTCCCATCCCTTTAAGTATTGCTATTTAATGAGACCTAGGAAGTGTGCCTTTTGTATAGCAGTACTGCTCCATGAAACACGTTTCTCCCTGGGATCTAGCAGACTCCTTGCTTTTAGCCTTCTGAAAAGCCATAAAGGGCTGGTTTTTCCCCCAGGGACTGGGGTAGTGTAAGACTAAAGCATTATATAGATTGATGGATTGGAGATGATTAGTCAGGCTCCTGTTTTTTTCTTTTCTTTTTCTTTTACTTCGTTTCATTTTATTGTTGTGAACTGCCCAGAGTTGGGTTTTGCAAGATGGGCAGCCATATAAATCTTTTAAATAAATAAATGTCATCTCAAAGCAAATTAGTTAAAACTAAGCTGTTTTAATAAATGGTATTTACCGTTTTTAATTTCCCCCCCTAAAAGCTAATTATATTTGCTTGAAGGTTTGCATGTTATTTTCAGTATTAGCCTAATAAATTATTATGATTATTTCCTGTAGTAAATTCTCCAGATCAACCATATTTCTGCTTCAATTTTTTTTTACATTAAATAGCATTAAAATTCAAGGGCTGAAGATGATAGCTTGATTTAGGATACTTGTATAAAGCTGCAAAGAAGCCAAGAATTCTCATCAGTGCAGGGAAATATCTGAATTACAATTTAGGTAAAATAGTGAAAATTAAGTCTCTGTTCAATTGCTCTAAATAGACAGCTTGGTCGGAATTTTCCGAAAGTGGGATTTTCAAATTAAAGCTGTAATACCATTTCATTATTTCACTGTATCTACAAGATAGATACTGTATTTGATTGCATTGCTCTCCTGCATTTCTATTGATTGCTTAACATGGCAGCCTGCATAGGTTTGATGCCAGAGCAACCATTTTAACTGGTACAGGTATTCCTTGCTTTATGATTATAACTGAGACCAGAATTTCCATTGTCAGCATTGTTAAGTGGCTGCAACCATTATAAATAAATGCTGAATGAAAAGCAACCAAATTTTGATCATGTGATTGTGACGGTGCTGTGTTGGTTGTAAGGGCAAGAACTTGGTTGCAAGTCACATTTTTTTCAGTGCCATTGTAACTTTGAACGGTTAGTAAATGATTGGTTGTATGTCAAGGATTACCTGTATACTTGGCAGCAAGAGACCAATGACCCGCTTATCCAACTGAGTAGGGACTTGAATTTGAACCCCCTTGGTTTGAGTCCAACATCTTGTCCAGTATATGTCACTCCCTTTTTTCAGCTGTCGATATTTTTAGGTATTTAAAATTATTGATGAAATAGAAAACAATTTAATTGGGCTAAAATAGTCTTTTATTTTAAAAAATTAAGTGGTGTTTTGGGTGGATATTTTTGAAAAGAGCAATTTTTAATGAGAGAGAAACTGTTTTGAAAGACATTTTGCCTTCTTCTGGTCTAAGGTGAAAAATGCTTTAGAAAATAGTCAATTATTCTATCTCCTATGCAAAAAGTATAAATTATTGGAGATATTTTTATGTAGTCTAATGTGCTTGGTATATACTTTAGAGCAGGGGTATCAAACTCGTGGCCCACTGACCGAATGCATCACACACTGGCCACGCCCATCCTGTTTAGCGAAGGGGGGAAAGTCAGGATATGTCACATGATGACTTGACATCACAAGTTTGACACCCCTGCTTTAGAGAGTTTCAGTAAGAAATAGTTTTAATTGAGTTCATACATTGTAATTAACTGCTGCCACCTTATATTCTTTCATGAATGGGCACAAAAATGCATTGCCCGGATTACAGTAAGCTATAATGTAGTTTGCTACGATTTGGTTCTGCATAATTTATGGACTCAACTATGGTTTCTTATTTAATGACTTATGACTATCACTAAGTGTTGTACCTTATGATTCTTGACTCTTGACAAATATATCCTTTATGTATACTGAGAGAGCATTTGCACCAAGACAAATTCCTTGTGTGTCCAACCACACTTGGCCAATAAAGAATTCTATTCTATTCTATTCTATTCTATTCTATTCTATTCTATTCTAT